CTGGGGAGCAGAGATGCCAGCTGACTGGGCTGTCGGGGTCGGTCGTGTCAACAGGAACCTGAAGGCAGAGCCAGTGGTGGAATAATGCTCAGCTCCCAGCCCCGTGCCTTAGCCGCCTCTCACCCACGTGCAGCGTTTCCCAGTCAGCGTTAAGGACACTGGGGCATGGATAGGGGATGTATCACGCCTCAAAAATAGCTTCCAGGGCTAAGTAGGCAGATTCCTCCCTTTTTTAGAGAGCAGCCAAGGCTGCTGGTGCTTGTGCCTGTGTTCCAGCAAAGGGCAGATCCATCTGCTAACCTCAAAAGCCAGAGTGTCCCTCAGCCAGTTGTGACTGACGGCTTGACAGCACTCTGGAGAGAGGAACTCATTCATGCTCACTGTTTACTTTGTTTAGCCAGGATTATACTTTATTGAGCTGCAACAAAGAAAAATCCCATTTTAATTGTCCTTTTAATTTCTTCCTAGCGGCACAGTCCCCAGAAGGGGTGACCTTCATGCAGATACATGCCCGCTCTAGGAAGGGATGGAGAGGAGAGAGCTCGAGGGGTGTGACATGGCCTTCGTAGCAATCTTTCATGAATACATTGCTGGTTTTAATCCAATTTATTCAGCCAGTGACAGGGAATGCAAACTGGTCCATGGCTGTTTGGTAGTCCTGCAGCATTGCCTAGGTGATAGGTAGCTCTCTGATGGTGTTGCAAGGCCTTCCCATTGCATCCTTCAGTTCAAAAGGTGTGGTGGCCACATGACCCTGTGGAAACAGGTTTTATCTAACTTGGATTTATGATGCACCCAGGAGGCCACAGGCAATGTTCAGTTCCCCTTTGGCCAGCCCTGGTCTCAGGAAGGTTGAGCAGGCAAGCACCCATGTGGTACTCTCCAGGAGCAATTCGTGGTGTGGGAACCCTGCTCAGTGCTCCCCTTCCCCTTGGGAGAAATAAGAGGAGGAGGGGATCTGCTTAGAGCAGCTGGAGCTCAAGAAGCTGCCTGTCACGTGTAGGTCTGAAAGTGCTTTGCAGATAGCTGCAGAGCCAGTCCCAGGATGGCCCTGTGGGAGGACATGCCCAGGACTGCAGACCATGGCAGTGGCATGCCTGTAGCTAGGAGATGCTGGTCTCCCTCATCTCTCCTCCCTGTAAGGGTCTGAGCTGGCCCTGAATGAGGTGGAATAAGTGAGAGCATGGAGTGGTTTAACCAGAAACCTCCCTTGCTTGGATCCAGCGCCTGGTGGGTGTCAGCTGTGGCCATTGCCACAGCCTGGGCAGAAGCAGACTTCATTCTCATTCCTCCCACCTAGCCTCTTACCAGACCTGTGGTCTGCCCTGCTTGGTGCACATCCTCTCTAATCCGTGGCCTTCCTGGCGTGAGGAGCAGAGCACCTTGGTGCAGCAGCAGCCCCAGCTTGCTTGCATAGCCTTAGAAGCCAGTGCCATCCTCTTGTAGCCCAGATAGGTTGCTATGACTTCGTGGTAGCACATACCTATGTGGTAGAATAAGCAGGTTTTAGGGGACCCCCTCTCTTGCCACCTTCCCCTTCCCAGGGAGGAAGTAGAGGCAGCCCAGGAGGTCCTGGCAAGCTCCCGTTCTTGCTGGGCATAGCCAGACCTTATCAGGCTTAATTAGGCTTGACAGCAAGGAGTCCAGGGTGCAGTCCACATCGAAAAGTAGCTCCTGATGCTGATACAAACAGAAATCAGGCTAGTTAATAATTAACCTGCATCTTGGCAGCATTCACCTTCACAGACTTGACCTTCCAAATTTGAAATCTGTCTCCCCCCCTCTCCAGCCCCTTGTGTTTTATTTATCACAGCCCTTGGTAGTCTTCTTTGGAGGCTACCCCGCTGGCTGATGTGTGACACACCTCACAGATGTCCCATCCCTGCTTCCTGGAGGAGCCCTCCAAGACCCCAGCCCTACACCCAGTCCTTCAGGAGATGGGGGCCTGTGGCTGCCATAGACCACGTGGGAGCATGTCCCACTCTTGCTGTAGAGACAGGAGCCTCCTGCAGCTCCAAGGGCGGGCTGGTGAACCCTGCTGCTGGCTGAAGAGCTTCCCTGGAAGGCAGGAGCATCAGGAGTGTGCTCTGCCACTGGGATGTTGCAAGAGTTTATCCAGCTGTTGGGTCTGTGAACACGGGGCTCGGCGCAGTCCTCAGCGTCCCATTGGAACAGAGACCACGTCCAGATTGGGGTCTGGTGGTTTGCAGAGGCTGACACCGATTCCTGCTCCAGGGTGCTCAGGTGTCCTGAAGAGTAGGTGGGGAGCAGTGGTGGGTTCATGCAGGTGCTTTGTGTTGCCCTTTGGAAGTGCTTAGCTCTCCCTGTTGGTGAGAATAGGTTTGGGCAAGAGATGTGTCAGCTGGGTTCCTAAGCTTCTCCTTCCTGCCACTGCCTTCCCTTCAGAGGAGAGTTTGAAGTGTGAAGAAATTGCCTCCTTTTTTCCTTATCTGCAAGCTTCCTCTATTAACATTTCTGTGAGGTGCCCACTTGGATGTGCTGCCCGTGCCTGCTCTCCTGTGCTTTGCTTGCAGCTGACATTGAAAGACAGCCTGGCAGTGATATTCAACCAGCTGCCCCATAGGACATCCTTGATGTGCCTTCCTGGGCAACCATGTGTCTTCTCTCTGTGCCACAGCTCACCATATTCATTGCAGAGGAGCTGTGTGGTGACAGCAGGGCCTCCATTATTCATGTCTCGGTGGACGTGCTTGTCAGCAGAGCTCCATCGCTGGTCAGCTTGTCCCTTCACCATGAGTGGCCTACCTAGGGCTTGAAGATGCTTCTGGTGGCACTTCCTCTGCTGGCATGGTGTCCTCTGAACAAGCACGAGTCCCACAGCCTTTCAGTGCCAGCACCTTTATTTAGGTGGAGTGCCCAGTCTCACGTGCACACTGCACCCAGCCCCTGTGGCTGCCAGAGCAATGTGTCCACTCTTGGACCTGGATGTGTTGCTTGCTTTACTCTAAGAGCTGCCTGGCAAGTGATTGCCATGTTCATCAAATCAGTAGGTGATCCATGAGTGGCTTGGAGAGATAACAAAGCCACCTGCTAGCGACCAAAGGTCCTGCCTCTGGCCATGGACACTGGGAGTCCCACACAGCCTGCCCAACAGCCTTGGGCCTGGAGCACAGTGAGAAGCCACAGGAGATCTTCTCTGACAGTTTTGGGTCTTTCAGGCTTTCTGCACCACGTGTGCTTACGGACCTGTAAGAGATGTCTGCATGAGGCTCCACATTGTCATACCATGCCAAGGGCTTTTGTCAAATCACTTAAAATGGGGACTGAGGTTTCATTGTATCCTGTCTCCTGGAGCTGTTAGGACAAGGAAATTCTGCCTGATATTCCCCATTTTCAGGGCAGACCTTTGCCTCCTGCACTGTGCAGCTCCCAAGGCACACAGCACCAGTTGCTGCCACAGCTTTTCTGCTGCAGTTACTTCCCAGCAAAGGCTGTCGTGAGCCAGACTGTCAGCAGGTCAGGGCTTGGCAGCCCTGCGGGGGTGGCTGCTGTGCTTTGGCTCAGACAGAAGTGAGCCATGTACGTGGTACAGCAGCTGGTGTGTAAGCACCTGCATTTGGAGTGAGGAGCTGGACCTGTCAGCTCCATACACTTCCAGCTAGAGGCAGAGACTGGACTTGCTCAATCTCTGTCTTGGAAAGAGACACAGATTTCATCTAACTCCCTGCTCAAGCAACTCGAATCTTGTTCTTATCTCCACCTTGTTCTTATCAGTTGGTATCTCCAAGTGTAGCAAAAGGCAGAACACCATGTCCAGGTTCACCCCTGTTTCTGCACTCCTCCAGCTCAGCTGCCTCCTCCCCTCTGTGCTTTCTTGGTGTTTGCCTGCAGTTGTCCCCTGTCCCCCTGCATTCTGCATTGCCCACCCTCTTCCCCAGGTGCCCTGCTCCCCTGCCTCTGTCATTTTCTGTACACTTCTGGGGATTCCCAAATCCAGAGTACGCTGTCTTTGAGCTAGGCACTGATGGGTTTGATGTACGTCATTGATTTCAAATGATGGATGCAGCCTTTCCTGCTTCTGTGATGTGTTAGAATAATGTCACCTGCCACAAGAGTTATTACATATTTTATAAACTCTGCGGGCCTTGCAAGGCTAACGGTCTTGGCAATCAATCTAACTGGATTGATGAAGAGAAGGCAGAGTTTATAACTCGATTTCACTGGAACTTTATAATTCCTCTGTGAGTTTTGGTGCAGAGATCTGCTGGAGCCCCTGTGGGATTAATCCCATCTGAGGCATTACCTGGAAACCTCAGGCAACATCTGACCCACTGCTTAGCCAGAACAAGATGCTCTGCCATTGTGATACCCCACCAGGTTCTGCAGAGCTCCAGCTCCTGCTCCCAGGCTCAGCTGGGCCCTGTGCTGCAGCTCATACACCCCAGCTGGTCAGCCAGAGGAAAGCCAAGGGGAATCCAGCTTTGTTCTTGAGATGTCTTTTCAGAGAGCCCATCAGCATGTGCCTGCACTTGGGTGTGTGTGTGGGAGAGGAGACCTGGGTCAGGGCCAGGGCAGGCACCATTCCTCCTGTTTGGGGTGCTCCTTCCCATCTGGGCACCTCGCTGGGGCATCAGCAAGCTGAGCCAGACATGGGGTCATCTCAGCATGCTGCTGGCCCATGTGGCAGAATGAGTCAGTACCTTGGTCTCCCCAAAGATGTGGCTACTGTGGGGATGATGGGACAGCCTATGTCATCCAAGAGCACCAATGCAGGCTGAAGAAACATTTAGGGTTTTTTTTTTCTTCTTCTTTAAAAAGTTAAAACCATGTTGTGTATGTTCTTAGTGATACTCAGAAGTCTCGGTCCTTTCTTTCTGTGGCCCAAGGAATTTGGGACCCACCACTGCCCCCCCAAATTGCTGTGTGAGCTAAGCAAGTTGTGCTGGGGCTGCAGAAGCCCATGTTTGGGCCCTGCAGACAAGCCCTCGAGGTGCTCCAGGGCTGCTGTGTACAGCTTGATGTTGACCTTGCTTTCACAGAGGTGGCCGAGAGGAAGCTGACGGTGGAAGAGGAGGAAGCCAAGAGGATTGCAGAGATGGGCAAACCAATACTCGGCGAGCATCCCAAACTAGAAGTCATCATTGAGGAGTCCTATGAGTTCAAGGTCAGTAGTTGTCCGAGGGGTGCTGCAGGAGGGGAAGCCCTGTGAAACCATGGAGAGCAGGATGGAGGAGGCAAGGGATGGCTGGGTGTGCAGGGAAGGGGCTGCTGGGAGAGGAAGGGGAGTGTGCAGTGCAGTAAAAGGTGGGGAAACCTACAAGAAATGCTGGGGAAGAAGCTGCTGGTGGGCAGAAGTGGAGGGAAGAAGACTAGGGAGCCCTGCTGGAAGCAGAAAAAGCCAGTGTGCAGGAGGAGGCAGGAGAAAAGCTGTTTCTGGTGAGGCAGGGGCGAGGGAAGAAAGAGCCTCATCAGGATTAAGGGGTGGTAAACAAGCTGGCTTTGGTGAGGTTTGGGTCAGCCTGTCTAGGGAGAAGGTGGGCCCAGCCTCATTTATGGCCTCCTCTGGCTGACAGGAGAGTGCTTGTGGCACTTCCACAATTTGGCAAGGGTCTGTGGGACCACAGGGCACTGCAAGATCAGCCTTGCCTGCTAGCAGCCCATTGAATTGATGTGCATCTCCATTCCAACAGAACACCGTAGACAAGCTGATTAAGAAGACAAACCTGGCTTTGGTTGTAGGGACACATTCCTGGAGGGACCAGTTCCTGGAGGCCATTACCGTCAGCGCAGGTAAGGGGGGCATCAGAAACCCACACCAACATCTGCAGGGTGCTGGCAGCCTGGGAAGAGGTCTCCCTGGCCTCAGGAGACAGCATCTGTCTGGTCAGTGACGCTCGACCGTTGTGTGTGGTGGCCATCAGCAAAGCCAGTCCAGAGAGCTCCTCTGCTCCAAATATACTGTGCTTTTGCAGATGAGCCAGGAGCCCAGGAGGTCCATGTTTTGGTGTGGAGCCATCCAGGAGGCAAATTTTCATAGAATCACAGCCTGGTAGGGGTTGGAAGGGACCTCTGCAGGTCATCTAGTCCAACCCCTCTGCTAAAACGGGTTCACCTAGAGCAGATTTCACAGGATGACATCCAGGTGGGTTTTGAATATCTCCAGAGAAGGAGACTTCACAACCTCTCTGGGCAACCTGTTCTTTTTTTCCAAAGACTTCATGTCTGCTGGTGGTGCTCCTGCAGCTGCAGGCAGCAAAATCCCATCCTGGAGGGGCTGCTGGCTCCTGATGTGCCTCGTGCTGTCCTGTTTAGGTAGCTCCTGCAAGAGGCCCTGTCCACCGTGGCCAGTATGGTCTCTGAGAGTAGGAAGGGTCACCACATGCGAGGAGATGTTGCCCCACGAGGCAGCAGCTGGTGGAGGGAAAGGCCCAGAGACCTACCAGCTGTTGCGCAGGGAGCCTGACAGAGCTCACCACTTCCAGAGCCAGGCAGCTGTGGAGCAGGCATTTTAGATGTGTTCATGTCCTTAGTGACACTCATGAACCTTTCTGAACCTTTCCTTGGTGGTTTGGCATCTTCCCCAAGGGGCTGTTTGCCCCACAGCCATGGTGCAGGCAGCCAACAGGCAGGTGGTTGGGTGGGAGATGTCACTGTGGCCATGAGGACTTCTGCTGACGTGAAAGAAGAAATGTGGGGTGTTCAGTTTTCTTCTTTCTAGCAATAAGGAGAAACTGGTTCTGTGGAAACAGTACCTCCGTCCTTGAACAATGTTTTCTCCTAGGACTTCATCCCTTCTTAGGTCTCTCTCATATCCTTGCCATCTCTCTACCTGTTTTCTCTTCCTCCAGTTTATTTCCATTGTCTCTATCTGCACCAAGACCAGCAGTGCTTCCAGCCTTGGGCCTGACCTGGCCCACCAGACTAAGGGCAGGACCCCTCCAATGGCTTGCAGCACTGCTGCTGATACCCTCACGCGGATGAGGAGTTTCTTGCTGGGGTGCTGCTGGTGAGCAGCCCTTGCTCAGGAGCAAGAGGACCAAGAGCTCTCTCCAGTTTCCCAGTTCTATTCACTTCCTGCTATTTCTTTTTTTTTTGCCCCAAACCATCACTTGCCTGTGTAACTTCAGGGTGCCCCTCAACAGTGACCCCCACAGGCTGGCTACGTCCTATGAGACTGCCTGTGGATGGGGACAGGGCTGCCCCTCTGTGGGCACAACACACCTCTCTGCCACTCCCCAGCTCTGCAGGCACTGGAGTGTCCCGGGGGGCTCCAGGGACACCACTGAGGGACCCGGTGTGCCCGGAGCCCACTGCCGTGGCCACCACCATCCTACCTTGTCCCAGGGCTGGGGAGGGGGCAAGCACGGGCTGCAGCCCACCCTCGTGCTCTTGACCTGCCCCATCACGAGCACGGGACGTCTCCTTCCCTGTTGTTTGCAGCGGGTGATGAGGACGAGGATGAGTCTGGCGAGGAGCGCCTGCCCTCTTGCTTTGACTACGTGATGCACTTCCTGACCGTCTTCTGGAAGGTGCTGTTTGCCTGCGTGCCCCCCACCGAGTACTGCAACGGGTGGGCCTGTTTCGGGGTGTCCATCCTGCTCATCGGGGTCCTCACCGCCCTCATCGGGGACCTGGCCGCCCACTTCGGCCCTCGGTGACGGCCGTCGTCTTCGTCGCCTTCGGCACTTCTGTACCAGGTGGGGTGGCCAGGGGGGAGAGGGGAGGAATGGGTGGGAGGAAAGTCCTCTGGTGGCTCTCCTGCCCCCAGGGGAAGAGCTTTGAAATGGGATGGGGTGCAGGCTGAGATGGGGCTTCACAACGCCCTGTCACTAGGCAAGGTCAGCACCCCACTTGGTGGCAACATGGGCTCCCTGGACCAGGGATGGGGTGTGTGCACCAAGAGAGGACCATGTCCCACCCTGGTCGGTGCCACTTCGCTATTCCCCATCCCCTGGTCCCCTAGACTTGAAGGCTTGCCCATTTCTCCCGTTGG